ATGCCAACCACGCATGCCACCACGCATGCCACCACGCATGCCACCACGCATGCCACCACGCATGCCACCACGCATGCCACCACGCATGCCACCACGCATGCGCACCCACGCATGCCACCACGCATGCCACCACGCATGCCACCACGCATGCCACCACGCATGCCACCACGCATGCCACCACGCATGCCACCACGCATGCCACCACGCATGCCACACGCATGCCACCACGCATGCCACCACGCATGCCACACGCATGCCACCACGCATGCCACCACGGCATGCCACCACGCATGCCACCACGCATGCCACCACGCATGCCACCACGCATGCCACCACGCATGCCACCACGCATGCCACCACGCATGCCACCACGCATGCCACCACGCATGCCACCACGCATGCCACCACGCATGCCCACCACGCATGCCACCACGCATGCCACCACGCATGCCACCACGCAGCCACCACGCATGCCACCACGCATGCCACCACAGCATGCCACCACGCATGCCACCACGCATGCCCCACGCATGCCACACGCATGCCACCACGCATGCCACCACGCATGCCACCACGCATGCCACCACGCATGCCACCACGCATGCCACCACGCATGCCACCACGCATGCCACCACGCATGCCACCACGCATGCCACCACGCATGCCACCACGCATGCCACCACGCATGCCACCACGCATGCCACCACGCATGCCACCACGCATGCCACCACGCATGCCACCACGCATGCCACCACGCATGCCACCACGCATGCCACCACGCATGCCACCACGCATGCCACCACGCATGCCACCACGCATGCCACCACGCATGCCACACGCATGCCACCACGCATGCCACCACGCATGCCACCACGCATGCCACCACGCATGCCACCACGCATGCCACCACGCATGCCACCACGCATGCCACACGCATGCCACCACGCATGCCACCACGCATGCCACCACGCATGCCACCACGCATGCCACCACGCATGCCACCACGCATGCCACCACGCATGCCACCACGCATGCCACCACGCATGCCACCACGCATGCCACCACGCATGCCACCACGCATGCCACCACGCATGCCACCACGCATGCCACACGCATGCCACCACGCATGCCACCACGCATGCCACCACGCATGCCACCACGCATGCCACCACGCATGCCACCACGCATGCCACCACGCATGCCACCACGCATGCCACCACGCATGCCACCACGCATGCCACCACGCATGCCACCACGCATGCCACCACGCATGCCACCACGCATGCCACCACGCATGCCACCACGCATGCCACCACGCATGCCACCACGCATGCCACCACGCATGCCACCACGCATGCCACCACGCATGCCACCACGCATGCCACCACGCATGCCACCACGCATGCCACCACGCATGCCACCACGCATGCCACCACGCATGCCACCACGCATGCCACCACGCATGCCACCACGCATGCCACCACGCATGCCACCACGCATGCCACCACGCATGCCACCACGCATGCCACCACGCATGCCACCACGCATGCCACCACGCATGCCACCACGCATGCCACCACGCATGCCACCACGCATGCCACCACGCATGCCACCACGCATGCCACCACGCATGCCACCACGCATGCCACCACGCATGCCACCACGCATGCCACCACGCATGCCACCACGCATTGCCACCACGCATGCCACCACGCATGCCACCACGCATGCCACCACGCATGCCACCCACGCATGCCACCACGCATGCCACCACGCAATGCCACCACGCATGCCACCACGCATGCACCACGCATGCCACCACGCATGCCACCAACGCATGCCACCACGCATGCCACCACGCATGCCACCACGCATGCCACCACGCATGCCACCACGCATGCCACCACGCATGCCACCACGCATGCCACCACGCATGCCACCACGCATGCCACCACGCATGCCACCACGCATGCCACCACGCATGCCACCACGCATGCCCCCACGCATGCCACCACGCATGCCACCACGCATGCCACCACGCATGCCACCACGCATGCCACCACGCATGCCACCACGCATGCCACCACGCATGCCACCACGCATGCCACCACGCATGCCACCACGCATGCCACCACGCATGCCACCACGCATGCCACCACGCATGCCACCACGCATGCCACCACGCATGCCACCACGCATGCCACCACGCATGCCACCACGCATGCCACCACGCATGCCACCACGCATGCCACCACGCATGCCACCACGCATGCCACCACGCATGCCACCACGCATGCCACCACGCATGCCACCACGCATGCCACCACGCATGCCACCACGCATGCCACCACGCATGCCACCACGCATGCCACCACGCATGCCACCACGCATGCCACCACGCATGCCACCACGCATGCCACCACGCATGCCCCCACGCATGCCACCACGCATGCCACCACGCATGCCACCACGCATGCACCACGCATGCCCCACGCATGCCACCACGCATGCCACCACGCATGCCACCACGCATGCCACCACGCATGCCACCACGCATGCCACCACGCATGCCACCACGCATGCCACCACGCATGCCACCACGCATGCCACCCACGCATGCCCACCACGCATGCCACCACGCATGCCACCACGCATGCCACCACGCATGCCACCACGCATGCCAACCACGCAATGCCACCACGCATGCCACCACGGATGCCACCACGCATGCCACCACGCATGCCACCACGCATGCCACCACGCCATGCCACCACGCATGCCACCACGCATGCCACCACGCATGCCACCACGCATGCCACCACGCATGCCACCACGCATGCCACCACGCATGCCACCACGCATGCCACCACGCATGCCACCACGCATGCCACCACGCATGCCACCACGCATGCCACCACGCATGCCACCACGCATGCCACCCACGCATGCCACCACGCATGCCACCACGCATGCCACCACGCATGCCACACGGCCACCGCATGCCACCACGCATGCCACCACGCATGCCACCACGCATGCCACCACGCATGCCACCACGCATGCCACCACGCATGCCACCACGCATGCCACCACGCATGCCACCACGCATGCCACCACGCATGCCACCACGCATGCCACCACGCATGCCACCACGCATCCCACCACGCATGCCACCACGCATGCCACCACGCATGCCACCACGCATGCCACCAAGCCACACGCATGCCACCACGCATGCCACCACGCATGCCACCACGCATGCCACCACGCATGCCACCACGCATGCCACCACGCATGCCACCACGCATGCCCACCACGCATGCCACCACGCATGCCACCACGCATGCCACCACGCATGCCACCACGCATGCCACCACGCATGCCACCACGCATGCCACCACGCATGCCACCACGCATGCCACCACGCATGCCACCACGCATGCCACCACGCATGCCACCACGCATGCCACCACGCATGCCACCACGCATGCCACCACGCATGCCACCACGCATGCCACCACGCATGCCACCACGCATGCCACCACGCATGCCACCACGCATGCCACCACGCATGCCACCACGCATGCCACCCATCCTCACCACTTGTCCCATGCCTACATTCCATCCGCCATGAGACTAGGCGAGCTGCAGCTTAGGAGAATTCTTTAGCAGAAGAAAAACAGTAGAGTTTAAAACTCTTGTGTTGCCAGTTCAAAAAACAAGATCGAAACTGAGCTCTAAGTCCACTACAACGATTGTGCATGCCTACATTCCATCCCCGCACTGCATACCTCTCCTCTCCACTTAGTTCACTTCCCCCTCTTCCTTTCCCTCTCCTTATCCCTCTCTCCCTGCCCACCTGCAGGTGGTGGATAAGGCAGAGTGACTTTATTTTACTCACGCACGTACACAAGGCCGTGACTCGCCTGTTAAACAGCCCATGCCACCTCCGACCATGGTGCTTCCATCCCACCCACACATTGCATTCCCACCTCACGTGCTTCTGCGCTCCCTCCCTCTCTCTCTCTCTCTCTCTCTCTCTCTCTCTCTCTCTCTCTCTCTCTCTCTCTCTCTCTCTCTCTCTCTCTCTCTCTCTCTCCCTAACCGCCTGCAGGCGGCGGGGATGGCGGCGTGGCTCTCTTTGATTCACGCACGCACAAGGCCATCACTCGCTTCTCACTGGGAGGCAGTTTTGAGGTGAGAGGGATCAGAGGGGCGAGGGGAAGGCAGGTGAGAGGGGGTGATGGGGGGTATAGGGAGGGATGGCGGTGTGGCTCTCTTTGATTCGCGCATGCACAAGGCTGTCTCTCGCTTCTCCCTGGGGAGCAATTGCGAGGTGAAGGGAGTAAATGCGAGAGGGGAGAAGAGATGGTGAGAGTGAGATGGCCTATATCAATGAAAGGGGGAATATTGAATCTGACGTCTGTCCTCCCTAGCGCACCCCATTAGCTGACGCCAGCACCGTTCAGCCCCTAACTGCTCCATGCCACTTGCTCCACCAACTGCTGTTCCTGCTCCCTCCCGTCCTCCTTCACAGCACTGCACCCTCCTCTCGATCGTCATCCCGTATTTCTCGTCTCTGTTCACTCCCTGTCACTTCTCCCACACGCCCCATACCCCACCTCCACTCCATCCCCCCGCACACCCCTTCAGGTGACGTCAGCAGCGTTAAGCCCGTGTGATAGATCCCGCTGCTGCTCCCATTGCTGCTCCCCCTCTTTGACTCCCGCTGTCTCCCCTCCTCTCCTCTCATTTGCATTCCCCTCTTGTCTTTCCTCTGCTCACCTCTTCAGGTGACGTCAGCAGCGTTCAGCCCCTGTGGTCGGTTTTTCCACGCTGCCTGCTCGGCCAACTGCTGCTTCCTCTTCGACTCCCGCTGCCTCCCCTCCTCCTCCTCCTCCGCTGCTGCTCCCCCCTCCTCCTCGTCCGCTCCCCCTTCCTCTTCCTCCTGCCCCTCCCCCTCTCTGCGCGCTCTCTTCTGCCTCTCCCACGGCCCACCCATGCCGTCAGTGCAGCACTCCGTGCAGCATGCGGGGTGAGTGAGTGTCGTGCGGTGCAGTGCGGTGTGTTTGGGTGATGGGGGTTGGGGGATGTATGCGTGGGGCGTGTGTGGTGTGGTGTGGTGTGGTGTGGTGTGGTGTGGTGTGGTGTGGTGTGGTGTGGTGTGGTGTGGTGTGGTGTGGTGTGGTGTGGTGTGGTGTGGTGTGGTGCCAAGCCAACCCCACTTGTTCCCGCTTGTGCGCACTTGTGGTTTGGTTGGAGCATGCGGAGAGCGGGGTGAGAGGAGGGAGGGGAGGGGGGTGAGTGCATCGTGTGGTGTGCGTTGTGTGTTGTGTGGTGCATGGCGCATGGTGCATGGTGTATGGAGCACAGTTCATGGTGCATGGTGTATGGTGTATGGTGCATGGTGCATGGTGCATGGCGCATGGTGTATGGTGTATGGTGCATGGTGCATGGTGCATGGCGCATGGTGCATGGCGCATGGTGTATGGTGTATGGTGCATGGTGCATGGCGCATGGTGTATGGTGCATGTTACATGGTCTGGTACCTAACCCTCTTGATTGCCTTATCTGCTCCCGCCATCTACCACACAGACTCTTCACCCCCCAGTGTTGTGGATTGTGGGGAAGTGGGATGAACGACACCGAATGTGTCTTTGTCTCGCGCCTCTTTCCACTCCCTTTCCTCTCCCAACCCTACCTTACACACACTCTTCCCCCCACCCAGCTTTGTGGATTATGGGGACGAAGGGGTCAATGATGCCAGGTGGCTCTCTGCTTCGCCTGGCCTCGTGACTGCCAGTGGCAATGGCAGGTGGGATTGCTCTGCCACGCTGGCATGCTCTGCCACGCTGGCATGGTAGCGTGTGAGAGGCAGTGACAATGGCAGGTGGGAATGTCTTGCTGTGCCATCCTGCCATGCCCTGCCATGCTGTCACCCTTCCAAATCCCCGTGAGCATCTTTTAGAGAGGGTCCATTTCCCCCTTCCCCTTCCCCTTCCCCTTCCCCTTCCCCTTCCCCTTCCCCTTCCCCTTCCCCTTCCCCTTCCCCTTCCCCTTCCCCTTCCCCTTCCCCTTCCCCTTCCCCTTCCCCTTCCCCTTCCCCTTCCCCTTCCCCTTCCCCCTCCCCTCCCCCTCCCCATTCCCCTTCCCCTGCCCCACCCATCGGTGCCATACTCTACTAAGCTGTCAGCGTAACAATACCTCCTTCCCCACCCTCCCCCCTGTCTCCTCCTGTGCAGCGTGGCTGTATGGGACTTAAAGAGGTGACTTTTGAGTCAACTCAAAAGTCACCATCTTCCCCACCCTTCTCCCTGCCCCCTCCTATGGCAGGGACCTCACTCTAGCCAATCCCCTCACTGCCTTCTCTTTCAACTGGCTCAATGATCAATCATGTATTCTGCTTACCCTGCAGCCCTTCCCTTGTTCATCCGCCGTCCCTTCAATCCCCCCTTCCCCACAGCAGTGTGGCAGTGCGGTACTCTGCCCGACCCACTCACTGCCCTCTCCTTGAACCTTCCTCGGTCATCTGTTCTTCTTACTTTGCGTTGCTTCTCTTGATTCTCCTGCCCCGTTGCCTCACCCCTTCCCCATGCCAGTGTGGCTGTGTGGGACGTCTCTTTGGCCGATCCCCTCACTGCCTTCTCCTTCGCACACACTCGATCTATCAACACTGTAAAGCAGTCCACATGCCGTATGATCGTACCGTAACTTTGTATATTTCCTGTATTCGGTGAGGATTTCCCTGTGCATCCTTTTCAATTACACTTATCCTACACTGGTTCAGCCTAGAACTTATACGTTGCCCCTCTCTCTCCCTCCATGGGCATATTTTGCAGTGGCTGACAAGGCTGTTGCTTTGGCGTCCCCCTCCCTGCATGGCAGGTGGCGGGGCCACCCGGTGACGCCTGCATTGCCTTTTGAGGCGTCTCAAAAGCCTTTTCTCTGCTCCTCCTCCCCCTCCCTCCATGACCAGGTGGCAGTGGCACCCGATGATGCCTGCATTGCCACCGGAGGGGATGATCAGAAAGTGGTGAGCGCATTTCTCTCCCCTCTCCTCCATTCCTAGGTGCACTAATACATGCTCGCATGCAAAAGCTTCATGCATGCATGTAGCCCACATGCGCACGTCCATGCATGCACGCACTCATTCTTGCACGCGTGTACGCAATCCAAGTGCTAGCAATTGCGTGAACCCGCACACACACACTCGCACACACACACTCGCACACACACACACTCGCACACACACACACTCGCACACACACACTCGCACACACACACTCGCACATACACACTCTCGCACACACACACTCGCACACACACACTCGCACATACACACTCTTGCACACACACACTCGCACACACACACACGCACACACACACTCGCACACACACACTCGCACACACACACTCGCACACACACATTCGCCTACACACACTCACCTATACACACTCGCACACACATTCGCACACACACACTCACACACACACATTCGCACACACACATTTGCACTCACACATACACCACATGCACTCAACCCTCATATGTGTACGAGCAGCACTAACGCACTTGCACATACATGCACACACATGCACACAAACATGAACACACCCTGTCAAATGTTCTTATCCAACTTTCTCATTACCATTTTGTGTTGCCATATGCTCTATCTCCCCTTCCCTGCTTCCATCCTCAAATCCTTTACCTCTCTCCCAGAATCGCTTGTAACTGTTTTATAAGTAAGGGACGAATGGAAAATAAGCTCTCCGCGTCATTTTCTCCATTTGCTGCTTCCCCCCTCAAGTCCTCTACCACCCCCCCTCACTTTCCCTCGCCTCCCTTTCTCATGCCCATAAGGTGTTACCATCTGTACCTCTCTCCATTCAACCCTTCCCCCTTCAGGTCCTCCATCTCTCTCCTTTGACCGCCTCTTCAACCTCGACTCACTGGAAGCTCACACATCCCCTTGCCTTGTAGCCTTGCTGCAGCATGTTGCAAATGGTTTGAGGCACCAATAAATACTGTCATCGCTCGGATAGTAGACATATATGTCTTATCTCGTACACTGCTCAAAATTCTTGAGTTATCTTGTATTTGGGATGGTTTAGGGTGTCTTATAAGTCTTATAAGTGGAAAAAAATATAAGTACTCTGCATCATTTGCAAAGTGTGTAGAAACCACCCAGGGGCCAAATTCATTGAAACAGGATGACCTTGGTGGTGATGCATGCAGCGCCCCCACTTGCCACATGGGGGATGCAGCAAAGCTGCTACTGCTGGCAACATCACTCCGTGCTGGCAGCATCTAATAATGCTACCAGCGTCGTTTTGCTGCCAGCGTCGTTTTGCTGCCAGCGTCGTTTTGCTGCCAGCGTCGTTTTGCTGCCAGCGTCGTTTTGCTGCCAGCGTCGTTTTGCTGCCAGCGTCGTTTTGCTGCCAGCGTCGTTTTGCTGCCAGCGTCGTTTTGCTGCCAGCGTCGTTTTGCTGCCAGCGTCGTTTTGCTGCCAGCGTCGTTTTGCTGCCAGCGTCGTTTTGCTGCCAGCGTCGTTTTGCTGCCAGCGTCGTTTTGCTGCCAGCGTCGTTTTGCTGCCAGCGTCGTTTTGCTGCCAGCGTCGTTTTGCTGCCAGCGTCGTTTTGCTGCCAGCGTCGTTTTGCTGCCAGCACCGCATGGATGCTTCCAGAACGCTGCTGGCAGCACGATGGCAGCGTGAGGGCTGTCCTCTACGAGGAGATTCCTCGTAGAGGAGCGGCTCGACACCTTTGGAAGGGACACTCTAGCTGGGGAAGGTAGTCGGCTTGAGCTTCATTTGGTGCTCAAAGAGGTTGAGATCTCAACTCAACCTTTGCTCTCGGCAGGCTTAACCATGCGCAGCAAAGTCCCCGTAGGCACGTCCTCACCTCGCCCTCACGTGCAGGTAAATAACTACGGGCGAATTAACTTGCCCGGTGATGACATCTATGTAGCCATGGCGAAGAATACGCGCAAGGCAGGAACATCTACCGCCGCCTCCGATGCGAGCTGTGACGGGGACGGCGGCGACGAAGAACACGGCGACGACGACAAGGAGCATTGGCCGGAGAACGGCCACGACGACAACGCTTCAGGGGATGAAATAGCTCCTACCAACATCGACGAGGACGAATGGTGGAATCGGCTGGTTGGGAGTGACGACGAAGTGGAAGAGTGGCGGGCTGGTGATTTGGACAACGACGAGGGTGCTGATGCTGATGGTGAGCACGCGAAGGCAGCGACGTATGCAACGGGAGCGACGGTGGATGCGAATGCGGAGGCTGACGACGAGGCGGATGCAGAAGCGAGGACGGAAGAGGAGGCGAAAGCGGATGCCGATGTTGTTGTGCCCGCGGATGTGGCCGCAATTGCGGACGCGGATGCTGTGGCGGAGGCAGATACGAATGCTGCGGAGGGAGGTGCTGATGCTGTCTTATTTGACGGTGAAAACTCCAATGATGACCCGTGGAGCATCACGGGTGACGACGATGTTCCGCTTCTTAAGCGGAGGCTGCGTCATCGCCTACAATCCAAGCCGAAGCGTGCCCGCGTGGTGCTCTCTGATGACGACAGTCCGGGGGAAGAGCGTCAACCGTGCATCACTGCTGCAGACAAGGGGAAAAGCAAGGTCGCGGAAGCCCCTGCTAAGGCCACCATTCGTCGCAGCACAAGCAACAAGAAGCGGAAGAACGACGGCGACCCCGGATCCAGCACGGGTGCTGCTAAGAAGAAGAAGAAGAAAACGCCAAACAAGGACGACATTGTGGTCAACGAGGCGTTCGGCAGCGACGATGACTACGCGGAGGCTGCAGGCCCGATTCCTTCATTCCCTAAGAAGGCGAAGCCGAAAGATCCCACCCTCAATAATCCCAACTCCCGTCCACCTTCCCCTCGTAGCAAGGACAGTAAGATTAGGTGACGCGGAAGGACCGTATGCGAGAAGCTCAAGTGGGCGCGCCGCTACCACGAGGAATCCTAGGAATCTACCACATCCTTAAAGAAGACATCCTAGGAATCTACCGCATCCATCGCCTGCATCAGACGGTGTGCGGAGGCGGCTGCAGGCGTCTACAAGGGAGCGACGAACTGCCGCAAGCGAATGCATGGGGGGGGGGGGCGCCACGCACACTATCCCGACATGGAGGCGGCGTTATACCACTATATCTGCCTGCAGCGTGCTAATGGGGTGGCGATCTCGGTGAAAGCCACCCACAAGTGGAGCCGTGAGTGGATGAAGAAACACCACCCCGGCAAGGACTGGAACGCAAGCTCTCACTGGAGCTAGCGTTTCCGTGAGTGCTGGAACCTGGTCATGCGTGTGAAGACCAAGGTCGGCCAACGTGCCCAACTGTGAGATTCCAGAAGGTAAGCTCGCAGAATTCGGGAGCCGGAAGCCTGATGAGCTTGCCCTCCTTGTCTGACGCCCGTCTATCCCCTATGTGCCTGGCAGGAATCGTGGTCCAAGCACAGGACAACGGGTGGATGGACGAGAGCACTGTGCAGACCTGGCTGACCAAGGAGGTGCCCCATCTGAACCCCCAGCGCGGCCAGAATGCGAGGCGTGCGATGCTGGTGTTGGACTCCTACCGCGGCCACATCACCCAGACCATGCTTCAAGCTTACCGCACGCACAGCATCACCCCTGCAGTGATCCCAGCAGGTTGCACGAGCTAGATTCAACCCCTTGACGTCTCCATCAACCGGTGCTTCAAGGCTACTGTGCGAGCGCGCTACGCCAAGTGGTTCATGCGTGAAGGGATTCACCTGGAGACGAAGAAGGGTGAGTAGCCTTTTGAGTTAAACTTCCACTCTAGCGACTCGCTACCCCTGCCTCTGTCCCACCCGCAGGGAACCTGCGGAGGCCTCCGCACCCCGTGGTGCTGCAATGGATTGCGGAGGCGTGGGATCAAGTCCCCAAGAAGGTCATCATTGACGCGTTCTGCCACTGTGGGATTTCAAGCAAGATGGACGGGACGAGAACCACCTGGTGATGTCTCACCTGCGCGCCAGGAGCACCACCGATGTCTCCGAGGACATGTGCCTCGGTGGAACCACGGGCGACAACATGCTCCTGCTTGGGCAGGCTCCAGAGGAGGAGGAGGAGGAGGAGGAGGAGAAGGAGGAGGAGGAGGAGGAGGAGGAGGAGGAGGAGGAGGAGGAGGAGGAGAAGGAGGAGGAGGAGGAGGAGATGCAGGCGGAGGGCGTGAGGGAGGTGGCCGTGGCAACCGGCCTGGAGGTGCTGTACCAAGAGGCCCCTAAGTACCGGGGAGTGGCGGCTGAGGCTGACCGCATGATCGAGCCTAGGGAGACGGCTAGGCATGCCTGGCGAGTGCCAGACCTGGGTGTTAGGGAGCCTGCTGTTAGTGCAGGTGAGAAGGCCGTGACTGAGGGGGGCTAGGTAGAATTAGAGATTCATATATGTATGCATGTACCCCCCTAAAGTAACAAATGATCGTTTAGAAGACACCCTCTGTTTAATAGAAAACCCCGAAACTCCCGTTCTGATTATAAGACATATATGTCTTATCTCGTATGCACAAATCGGTGTCTTATAATGAGGCTAGCCTGTTTATAAGAGACACCCGGATAATAGACAGCCCCTGTCTACTATCCGGGCAATGACGGTATGTATTTTGAGGCGCCCCACTCATGCATGCCCATTATGCGGCAAATGTTACATTTTGCTGTCCCGTGTATGTACCGGATGTACCGTATTCTCCCGGACAAAACACCCCCCCGTAATTGTACACCCCCAGGTAGCTTGTGCGGGGTGGGTGCTATAGCCGACCCCTTTTGTACTATACCCCCCCTTTTTGGGTGATTTTCTATAACACCCCCCTTTTCTTACGGATTCATATTATAGCTGTTATCGAGTCAGATTCTTTACGGGAGGATATTGCGAGAATCGCTGCCTAGATGAAATTTTGCGTATACTTTCACTTAGAATCCGCCAACATTTCCCCCCTCCCACAATCTCGCTGTCGCCACGCTGGCGAATCTTCCGCTGCAAGTGGCCCGAGAAGTGAAACTCATATTTTCGCCAAAACTCACATTCTCACCTCAAACTGTTATGTTAAAACGACCATTGAAACACCCAAATTGTCTAATATAAAAAAAACTCTTACGCTAAAATATGCCATATATAACCACCCGGGTATTAGGGTATGTAGCATTTTCCTTTGAGAGGACCCCCCCCTTTTTTTCCCAACACCCCCAGGTGTTTCTGTCCGGGAGAAAACGGTAGACTTCTGCTGTTAAACTCTACTCAATCCACAACACATTATTTCCCAGATAGAACTGGACCAGGCCTCTTGATATAAGGGTGAATCACCCTTATGACCCTTATTATAAGTGAATATGTTTAGGACCCTGATATTTCAGAGTGAAGTGGTGTAGTCGCACTGATCGGAAACATACATCCTCCTCAAAAAATAGATAATTAGCTCGAGGAACCGAGTCCCATGGAAAATACAGCCCACCAAATGCCTCCCACAAGTATCGATCCTGCGTCGCTTTCACTGCACCCACTGTACTAAGTTGTCACGCAAAACATCCATTAGCTATAAATATTGAATAGTTTTAGTTTGGTTACAACCCTTACAAAAAAGAGTGGTGCTTGCCTGGTACCCTTACAGAAAGAGTGGAAGCAGCTGGTTACCCTTATGAGAAAGACTGGTTCAAATCCTATCCAGAGGCCTGAACTGGACTATCAGGGTATCAAACATAAACACCCTGGAGCAGCAGAGCAGAGGGGTGTAGAACACTCAGAAGTCTCAGGGTGATATACGGTAAATCAACTCTCTTGAAATTACAAACATACAAACATACCGAAATCTCAAGGAAGTGGAGGTAGCGTCATCCTGAAATCACAGGTCAGAAACAAGAAGTGGTTTAACTAGGAAACAATTATGGTACAAGTATGAAACCCTAAAGTATTGTACCCCCTAAAGGCTAACCCACTGCAGCCTATACAGCAATAACATATATAATGTTTGACACACCCCCATAGGCTAAGTGGGGTAGAGCAAGGAGTCACAAGACCAGTCAAGAAAGAGAACGCAAGCTCAGGGTGGATCACAAAGTCACCACACACACTGAGCACAAGCAAAGAGCCACAAGGCCAGTTCACATGCAGAGGCATATATGCAACACAAACATCACAGTGATCTCTACCTAGCAATGCAAGCATGCAGGTACATATATATTGATCACAGTACAGGCAAAGTCTACAGCAAGTGAGGAAAAGTGGGCACAAGCCCTAACAGAGTGCAGAAACGCTGATGATCACCAGACTGAAGTGCCTTGGTGAATATATCAGCAGTGTTGGCCTGAGTGGCCACGTAACGCAGACGAAGCTGACCACGCTGCTGCAACTCTCGAGCCAGAAAGTAACGTAGAGCGATGTGCTTCGTTCTGTGCTCCAGTCTGTGCTCCTCACACAAGGCAATGGCAGCCTTGTTTTCGACGTACAGCACTGGAGGAGAACGAGGCTGCTCTCCCAGGTCGGTTAGCAGGTAGGTGAGCCAGCGTAACTCCTGTGCAGCCATGGCTGTGGCGTAGATCTCAGCCTCACAACTGGAGCTGAGAACTGAAGACGAACGCGTAGAACGCCACGAAACTGAGCCAGAGCCAAGACTGAAGGTGTAACCCTATGACGACCGCTGAGTAGCCTGGTCGTCAACCCAAGAAGCGTCTGAGTGCCCAGTGAGAACAACTGAGCTCCTCCCTCCAAGCACGAGCCCCATGCCCGATGTACTGCACAAGTAGCGCAATACCTTCTTTGCAGCATCCCAGTGCACCTTTCGGTGCCTACCAGGAGCCACGTAGCGGGCCAGAAGGCCAAGAGGGTACGCTAGGTCAGGACGAGTGCAAGTCATCAGGTACATGAGGCAGCCAACTAGCTCTGGGTAAGGACCACTCGGCTCTACGGACTCATCCGAAGGCAGAGCTGAGAGCGAGTGACCTGTAGCCAGAGGAGTGGCCTGTGCCGAGGACCAGGTGAAGCCGAAGCGCTGAAGGACCTGCTGCACCATGTGTGACTGAGTCAGTGTGATGGTGCGGCGTGCTCTGTCCCGGGTGATCTGCAAGCCAAGGTAGCTGCGCAGTTCACCCAGGTCTGTGCACGTGTGTCTCTTCTGCAGCTCCGACTTCACGTGGGCGAGAGCCTCAGTGTCAGCAGTGGCAAAGACCAAGTCATCGACGTACACGAGGATGTAGAACGGCGGCAGCAAAGTGTCGTTGCGTAGAAGCAGCGACGGGTCAGCAGTAGAAGGCGCGAACCCAAGAGCCGCAAGAGTAGTCCTCAGTGTGTCGTGCCACTCACGTGGCGCCTGGCGGAGACCGTAGACCGGCCGCCGGAGGCTCCACTGGGTACCAGGAGGAAACGACCCAGTGAAGCCAGGAGGGCGGCGCAGCCAGATCTCCTCGTGCAGGCTGCCCTGCAAGAAAGCTGTGCTGAAGTCAAGAGAGTGAAGCTCGTAGTCACGCTGAGCGGCAACGTCCAGTAGCACCCGAAGAGTGGTCATCTTCGGGGTGGGGGAGAAGGTCTGAAAGAAGTCTACTCCCTCTCGCTGACTGAAGCCTCGAGCAACGTAACGAGCCTTGAAGACAGGCGGAGAACCTGGCGGCCGCTTCACCCTGAAAATCCACATGCCACTGACGATGTTCGCCCCAGGAGGGGGAACCTCGTCAACGTAAGTGCCAGTGGACTTCCAGGATGCCATCTCTGCGTCCATGGCTGACTGCCACTGAGAGGAGTACTCACCCGCGATCGCCTCAGCGTAAGAGCGCGGGGTCGGGATGTCTGGAGCATCCGGGTCTCCCTCAGGGCAAGCAGCATGGACACGAGATGAGGCGCAGCGGCTGCAAGACACTCAAGGTCCTCCTGTCTGTCCTCAAGGATGTCCGTGCCAAGAGCACACTCACCCCCGACGGACGGAGGACAGACAGACTCAGACTCAGCAACAAGACTCGCGGCGTAGTCTAGACGACAGCGAGCAGCAAAGTCGACAAGCTCAGCAACTAGGGCAGACGCAGCAGCAGACTCAAAGGAAGGGTCAGTGACATCAGTGGCCAGAAGACACGTGACAGTAGGACTGGCAGCACGAAGAGAGTCAGACTCCGGGTCAGCAAGGGCAGGAAGAGAGGACGCAGGAGGAGAAGGTAGAGGGACACGCTGCGGAGCAGTGGAAAGACGAAGCGTCATCTGGTGAGTGCCTGGGACAGCAGGAGGACGCTGACGCGGGACACGACGACCAGTGCGAGCAGCACGAGCTCCTTAGCGGTCTTATGCTGGCCAAAGTGCTCGCGCTCATCTAGCGGTAGGTGGCTGCGAACGGCTAGGCGAGCATGAGCGTCACGGGTCTGCCACTGTGATCGAGCAGTGCTGTCAGCAGTAGCAGCAGGTGCGGGAGCGGCGCCGGACGTGTGGTAAAAAAGGGAAACATCGTCCTTGGCAGTGATCTGGAGGAACAGATGCAGGTCATCGAGCCAAACGTCAAACTTAATCGGACGGCCCTCAGAGTCAAACGTGAGAACGGTAGGACTAGCCATAGTGGCAGTAGCAGTAGCAGCAGTAGCAGTAGCAGTAGCAGCAGTAGCAGAAGTAACAGAAGCAGTAGTAGTAGCAGTAGGAGCAGTAAGAGCAGTTGCTGCAGGTAGGGCGGCGCGGCTCGGTCAGGGCGGCGCGACTCGGGCGGCGCGGCTCGGGCGGCGCGGCTCGGGTAGGTATGGCGGCGCAACGGCGGGCCTATGCTCGGTGCGCGGCGGCGCCTAGGGTGCGGCTGCGCGCGGGCCGCGGCTGCGTTCGTGCGGCGGCTAAGCGCTAGCTGCAGCAGCCGACGCGCGATCGCCGCTGCGCACTGGCTGCGACCTGCGGGCGGGCGGCTGTGGGTCGCGCGTCGGCCTAGGGGCGAGCGGGGCCTACGGGCGACGGCCTGCTGGGGCTCGCGAGAAAAAATCGGGCCGCCCTAGGCGGCGAATTTCCTACGCGCGCTAAAACGGCGGGGCCGCGCTCGGGCTGCTAGCGGGCTGCAAACGGGCAGCGTGAGAGGAGAGCGCACGAGGGCGCACTAGGAGAGAGGCGCACGAGGGCGTTAAAAAAAAAGGGGCGCACGAGGGCACCTCTAGCGGAACGGTGGGCCCTTAGGTCTAGAACCTAAGCTCTTAATACCATGTCAGAAACAAGAAGTGGTTGAACTAGGAAACAATTGTGGTACAAGTATGAAACCCTAAAGTATTGTACCCCCTAAAGGCTAACCCACTGCAGCCTACACAGCAATAACATATATAATGTTTGACATGGTCATATCCTGACATACGGTACAACGTCAAATACGTATGCATAATCATGTCATAGGGTGGTAAAGAGGATAGTGGTCTTGGAGACCAAAGTTCATCCCAGGGCAAGCGCCAAATCCTGGTGGCCTCTGCTGCGGTCCCCTTAGCCCACTATTTTTTTAGGTGCCTCATAGTAGTACTTTATGTGGGAGGAAGGTTGACAAGAGGATAGTGGTCTTGGAGACCAAAGTTCATTCCAGGGCAAGCGCCAAATCCTGGTGGCCTCTGATGTGGCCGGCTTATCCCGCTGCGATTGTAGTCCCACCTGCACCCGCTCTGCAAGGAATAGAGGAGAGGAGAGGGAAGGGGAAGGGAAGGACCATCACAGGTGTCTTCTGAGGCACCTCAGAAGTAGTCTCACCTACACCCACTCTGCGGAGGAGAAGGAAAACGGGAGGGGAGGAGGGGAGGGGAGGGGAGGGGAGGGGAGGGGAGGGGAGGGGAGGGGAGGGGAGGGGAGGGGAGGGCAGGGGAGGGGAGGGGAGGGGAGGGGAGCGGAGGGGAGGGGAGGGGAGGGGAGGGGAGGGGAGGGGAGGGAAGGGAAGGGGAGGGGAGGGGAAGGGAGGGGAGGGGAAGGGAGGGGAGGGGAAGGGAGGGGAGGGGAAGGGAGAGGAGGGGAAGGGCCACGACATGTGTCTTTTGAGGTACCTCACAAGTAGTTCCCACCACACCTGCTCTGCAGAGGAACAATGGAAAGGGGAGCGGAGGAAAGGGAAAGTTTTGCGAGGTATCTCTTGAAACACCCACTCTGCAAGCTGCGTGCGGATCAGATCACAATTCACATACAAACCCCACGCTTTGTAATGTTTCAAAACACCTCTGGAGGTACTGGAGGCCTTTTGAGGCACCTCAAAAGGTGCATGCGGATCAGATCACAATTCACACACAAACCCCACGCTTCGTAACGTCTCAAAACACGT